TCTTTGACTGACTTATTTCACTTAGCATATTTCACTTTCGTTTCATCCACATAGTTGCAAATGGCAAGATTTCATACTTCTTGATTACCGAGTAATAGTCCATTGTATGTATATACCATGTCTTCTTAATCCATTCATCAGTCAATGGACATTTGGGCTCTCTCCATACTTTGGCTATTGTTGATAGCACTGCTATAAACATTGGTGTGTATGTGCCCCTACGGATCAGCATTTTTGTACCCTTAGGATAAATACCTAGTAGTGCAATTGCTGGGTCATAGGGTAGTTCTATTTTTTTAAAAAATTTTTAATGTTTATTTATTTTTGAGAGAGAGACAGAGTGCAAGCAGGGAAGGGCAGAGAGAGAGGGAGACACAGAATCCGAAGCAGGCTCCAGTCTTCCAGCTGTCAGAACAGAGCCCAACGCTGGGCTCGAACTCACGAACCGTGAGATCATGACCTGAACCGAAATCAGACGCTCAACTGACTGAGCCACCCAGGCACCCCCAGGTGCCTCTATTTTTAACTTTTTAAAAATGTTTTATTTATTTCTAGGAGACAGAGAGACAGCGCGAGCAGGGGAAAGTCAGAGAGAGGGAGTCATAGACTCTGAAACAGGCTCCAGGCTCTGAGCTGGCAGTCAGCAAAGAGCCCGACGCGGGGCCCAAACCCACGAACCGCGAGACCATGACCTAAGCGAAAGTCGGACACTTAACCGACTAAACCACCCAGGCGCCCCTCTATTTTTAACTTTTTGAAGAAACTCCATACTGTTCTCCAGAGTGGCTGCACCAGTTTACATCCCCATCAGCAGTGAAAAAGTGTTCCCCTTTCGCATCCTCGCCAACATCCGTTGTTGCCTGAGTTCTTCATTTTAGCCATTCTGACAGATGTGAGGTGAGACCTTTACTTTTGAAGAAACTTAGAAAGGATGTAGCTCAAGAAGAAAAGCAATATCAGGAAGAAGGCCTGAATTACAAGAAGAAAAGGAGAGCATTCTGTTCTTAGTAAAAACATAAGCAAATCTGAACAAACATTGAGCACACCAAAAAAAAAAAAAAAAAAAGATATCCAAAGTATGAGATTAAAATAAATCAGGATTGAACTTAAAATTCAAGACAAGAACTTCATGTAGCCGGGAACACTCAAAAGGTATTGTCTTTTTCAGACAGAAGATAGGATACTGATCACCTTCTGGTCAAGTGCTCAAGTGTTTTGTTTTGTTTTGTTTCGTTTCGTTCCGTTTTGTTTTGTTTTGAGATGTCAAGGGAATCTACACACACACACACAAAAAAACAAAAAACAAACGAACAAACAAGAAATCATGCATGAGGAGGGGGCGCCTCAAGAGGGGAGAGGCAGAAATGACCTCAGCCAGAAAATACGGAAGACGGTCATAGCGGCCCCTAGCGGTGAAAACTAACAGTTGTCCTGTCTCCTTCCTACTTTTCAGGAGGAATTTTTAAAATAAAGTCAGTTTTTCCTAAACGTTCATTGCACATTTTGTGTGCGTGAGAGAGAGACAGAGACAGAGACAGAGAGAGACAGAGAGAGCGCAGTTCTTTGGATCCGAGGCTCCAGGGCTTTCTTTGTGCGGTTTGAGTTAACAGGGTTTGACCCCATTCCCGGAAATGTATCTGAAGAGACTGTGCTTTGCAGGGGCGAGAAACAGTTAAGGAAGATGGCCACTGCCTGAAAGCCTTCCCCTTCCCGCCCTCTCAGCGCTCTGTCCTTTGGACATTACTTTTCCAGGAAGTTTTCCCATTTACAGCTAATGGAGCAGAGGGCGGGGTGAATTGCCTGGTGCCTCCCAGATTGAGCAAGAAGACACCACCCACCACACGGGCCTCCGCTGGACCTCGCTGAGCATACGAAGTCCCAGCACCCTCCCCCTCCTGAGGAGGCTTTGCTCTTAGTCCCTCTTCCCTGTCCCAGGCGGGAGTGGGGTACACTTCCTTCCAGCCCCTCCCAGTCTAGCATCCTGGTCTACACTGGAGCAGGCAAGTCAAGCTCTGACGAGGGAAGTTTTTAAAAATGTGTAGTGGGGTGCCTGAGCGGCTCAGTGGGTTAAGCATCCAACTTTGGTTCAGATCATGGTGCCCTCATTCATGGGTTCGAGGCCCCATATCCGGCTCTGTGCTGACAGTGTGGAGACTCCTTGGGATTCTTTCTCTCTCCCTCACTCTCTCTCAAAATAAATAAACATTTTTTAAAAATAATAATAAATAATGAAAATGAACAAGACTGGGTCTTGAACATCAAATATGTTAGGTTTGTGCAGGTTAGGGAATCTGGGACCTGGTCCTGATGCTGAAGGACCTCATATCCAAAGGGGAAATGAGGAGTTGACAAAACACAGTTAAAAGCAGCGATTAGAAAATAAAAATAGAACTATTTCCTGTTTATACTCTGGTTTTAAATCCTTCAACAAATATAAATAAAGCCTGGGATTACTTGCCTGACCCCATGTCAGGGTCATGAGGTCATTTCCGTCTATCAATACAGTTTCACCACCAAGACCAAGCTGTGCAAATAGACCAATAGTTGTTGGTTTTTCTAAGTAAACAAAAGCAAGAGGAGAGGGATTTTACATCTGATTTCCTACAGAAAAGAAAAAGATTCAGAAACACCCAGGGCTAGTCACAGAGTGAGGAGAGGGAGGGGAGGGGAGACAGGAATAGAGGAAATGGGGAAGGGGAGAGGGATGAGATAGAGTGAGCACCACCCTCAGAGATTTGGCAACTTCGGGGGGGTGGGGAGAAGAAGTTGCCAGACTCCGACATTAAGAGACCATTTTGTGCAACAACATCCAAAAAAAAAAAAAAACCCACAACCCTCATCAGGTTGACATTTATTTACCAGAATGAAAAATGAAAAACACCTCTATCTGATCTGGCCATAAATGGACTGGTTTAGAAACACTGACACACAGAAGTTAATAGCATCTGACAAGCTCATACAAAGAATTAGAACAAAAAGATTAAATTCAAGAGGCCGTGTTCCACATCTAAGTTCTCCCCGGCAAGATGTCATTATCTATCCCCACGCTTCTCAAAATGTGTTCAACACATGAAACACCACCGGCACACCTTGTGAAAATATGAATTTTGACTCAGCAGATCTGGGGTGGGGCAGGGTTTGTATCTCTAGCAAGTTCCCTGAGTCGCTTACACCACAGGGCAATAAATCTGGAGGCAGATTAACACTTGAGGCAGCAAGAATATAGGCTGCTGGGCGCCTGGATGGCTCAGTCAGTTAAGTGTTTGATTTTGGCTTAGGACATGATCTCACAGTTCATGAGTTCGAGCCCCTCATTGGGCTCTGTGCTGACAGCTCAGAGCCTGGAGCCTGCTTCTGATTCTGTGTGTCCCTCTCTCCCTGGCCCTCCCTGGCTGTGCTCGGTCTCTGTCTCTGTCTCTCTCAAAAATAGATAAAAACATTATGAAAAAAAAGAGGAAGAAGAATATAGGCTCCCATCAATCACCCAGTAGAACTAGCCACTCTCCCCACTGTGGTCCCTACACCAGGGGATGGCAAGCTTTCTCTGTTAAAGGCCTGCTAATAAATACATTGGGCTTTGTCGGCCATTCAGTCTCTGTTGAGGCCATTCCACTCTGCCTGTGAAGCAATGTGTAAACAAATGGGTGTGGTTGTGTTTCAATAAAACTTTATTGACAAAAATAGATACAGACAGGACTTGAGCTTCAGGGTGAAACTTGCCAACCCCTGTTTAGTACTCTGAACATATTTCTGCCTCATCTCTGAGACTTTTTCTTACACAAGCTTATTTACAGACCTCTATCTAAGTACTAGGCGGGAAGGGGCCCTGGGGAGACAGACACCAGTCCTCCATTCTGAACCCCCATGCACAGGACCATGCCTCACCTGTTTTAGCAGCTCTGCATCTGTTCAGCACAGCCCAGTGAGGCAGCACTGTGTAGTGGGTGCAGGGGAGCCAGTCTGCCTGTTGTTGAAGACCAGTTCTTTCCCTGTGGTCTGCTAAGGAGTGATAAACCCTATGTCACAGAGATTTCATAAAGCCACATGGAGGTACAAGGCCACTCACTACGTTGGGAATCAGAAAAAAGCCAGAATTACTGCCACTTGTTAACTCTACAGACCATAACCTGCTTTCTTACCCTTCAGAAATGCTTGCATCTATATATTTACAATATATTTTTATAGGTGTATAAAGAAAATTAAAAAAATTTAACTGTTTTCTCTCCTTTTTATTTTAGAGAGAGAAAGGAAAAAATGCACAAGTGGAGAGAGAGGCAGAGGGAGAGAGAGAGAATCTTGAGCACGCTCCACACTCAGCGAGGAGCCCGATGCAGGGTTTGATCCCACAACCCTTAGATCATGACCTGAGCCAAAATCAAGAGTCAGACACTCAACCGACTGAGTCACTCAGGTGCCCTGAAAATGGAAGGAGGGAGGAAAGGAGGGGGAAAGAGAAAAAAGCCTTGTTCCAGGGGCGCCTGGGTAGCTCAGTCAGTGAAGCATCCAACTTCGGCTCAGGTCATGATCTCATGGTCTGTGGGTTCAAGCCCCATGTCAGGCTCTGTGCTGACAGCTCAGAGCCGGGAGCCTGCTTTGGATTCTGTGTCTCCTCTCTCTAACCCTCTCTCTCTCTCTCTCCCTCTCAGCTAAATAATAAAAACATTAAAAAAAAAAAAAAAACCCTTGCTTCAAGCCTGACATAGTCCTATAAATCCCACAGAAAGTTATAGTCAAAATTATAGGTGCTTAAAGACAAATTCAGTAGGTAAAAACATTCTAAGTACCATATATGAGAATTATTTTCACTTTACACTGAATAGAAGGAAATTGTAAAACGGAAGTTTGCCACTTAGGATATAGAGCAAAACATAATTAAATTTAGTCTCAATGGGACTTTGTTTCCATGTCACAAACTGGCCCTCACTTAATTCCATATGTATCAACACAGAGAAAGGTGCTTCACAGTGCACCGTGTACATAAACAAAGGGAGACCACATCCTTTCTGGGCAAAATGAGTTTTCCTGTTGTTTATGTTTAATTAGCTCTGGAGAAAATGCGACGACACCCGTTCAGTGACTTGAGGCCACTGCGATGGAACAGTGGGGAGAGAAGGAGGGCTGGGACAACGACCAAAAGAGATGCAAGTGTGAGGGGCAGGTCAGTGAAGGGCCCTGGGGAGTGGGTGCTGTCCTCCCCAGTGGCCCTGGGCTACTCCCGTCAGGGACATGCAGGGGCCCAGGCAGGGTCTTCGGTGGCTCACAGGATGATGGCTTCCATGGTCTTCTCCTTGGAAGGGGAGGGAGGCACTGAATTCTCCCCGAGTAACTTCTTCTCTGACCCTTCCTCATCCTGAAAAAACCAGGGAGACGTCAATAATTGTGGGAGAAAGATGGGGCCTAGTTAGCTTCATAGAACTTGAAATTGGGAAAGGAAAGAGGAAGGGAAGGAAAAGGTACAGAAGGGGGTGAGCTAGTCAGGAATCTGGGACAAAAAGGGTAAAAGGGGGGCCTGGAGAGGCAGAGGGCAGAAGCTATTCAGACACGGTGCTGGCACACTCTCCCTGCACAGCGAAGGGCCCAGCTGTGTGCTGGAAAGCAGGTGAGCTGTGCTCCCGGCCCTGATGATGCTCCCTGTTCCCAGAGCTTCACCACACAGACCCATTCCTTCCCCAGTGCCTCCCTGACAACTCACCAGAGGCCGAGAGCTCTGGCCACACAAGTTCCGAAGACCCATGCTCAGAGAAGCCAAGGATATGATGGCCTGCAGGACACAGACAGCCAGGAGCAGAGCACGGATTCCTAGGAACAAGTTCTAGAGATGAAAGAAGAAAAAGATATAGTCAGGAGGCTGCTCCCCTGATTCTGCTCTTACAACCACCTTTTCAACCCAGCCAGGTATCAGACTCTGTCCAACCAACTACTTCCCACCAAAGCAGAGTGCATTTTCCAACTACAGCTCCACCCCAGAGTTGTCTGCAATGTGACCTTACCACATCTTACGAAGAGGCGGGTCTATTTCTCCACCCCTAGAATCTGGAACAGCCTAGAATCGTTTTGAACAATAAAATACAGTGGAGGTGACGCTATGCCTGGCAGCTTCCATTTCCTACCTCTTGAAATATGCACAGTGGGATACTCCCTGTTGGAACCTAGTTGTCGTGCCATGAGAAGCCCAAGCCACAAGGAGGAGCCATTGTAGGCTCCCTAGCTGATGGCCTCAGCTGGGCTCCCAGCCACGTGAGAGCCATCTTGGAGATCCAACCCAAACGAGCTCTCAGATGACTTCATCCCCAACTGACATCCAACTGCAACTGCATGATAAACCCAAGTGAAAACTGGCTATCTGAGCCCAGCCAACCCACAGAAGGTGAGAAGTAATAATAAGTTATAGTTTTAAGCCACAACATGTTGGGTGTGGTGTTATACAACAATAGATGATGGGACAGGGGCACACCAGAAAAGCTAGAAGGGTGTTTCTTGATGTCCTCTCTTCAGTGTCTCCTCTTTGCTTCTCATTCCCTTTGATTCAGGGAATGCTTATCCATGAGGGTCTGAAATACATCTCCAGCTAAGTTAAAACCTCCTGTACCACAGACCTACGTCCACGCTCAAAGAGCCTACATCCTTGCCCTCCAGTGCCCTAGCTCCTTGGGAACAGAGTCTTGTGATGGGTCCCTGGAAGACTGGACTCTTCTCACCATCAGTATATGCATGTAGGTTCTACATCTATCCTTTCTCCAGTGTGACTCCTGACTTCTTGGCCACGACTTTTGGTACCCAGTGGTTGTGACAGCAGGTTCTGGGTAATCACACGCAGAGTCGATGTCATAGAAGCCATCACTTTGCCAGGTTAAGCTATTCACACAGAGGGCAACAGCAGCCATGGCTGTGGCGACACCAGCCAGCAGGAGCAGACCTGAAACATAGCCCTAAAAGGGAAAAGTGCAGGGCTCAGACCCTCTTCATTAAGGATAGAGCCATCAGGTCCTGGCTCTAAACTTGTCTCTTCTTCCTCACTTCCTGGCCCAGGAATCCCACTCCATCCCTACAGTAGCAAAGATCCCGAAGTATCAGGAGCCAAAGGGAAGAAAACAGAAAACTAGGGCAAAAAAAACCAAAAAAACAAAAAACAACAAAACAGACAAAGGAGAGGGCAGAGGACACCCAAGACTCACTGAAAGTTTGCCCCGGTGCTTCTCATAGACAATGGCCCCAGCTCCTGCTGCAATAGCCTGGAACGACAAGACAGTGAAAAAGGCCTCCAGTTTACTCTCCTGAGGTGACTCTTCACTCATTCCCAGGACAGCTAATTCAAAGCACAATCCGAGGGACCAGGAAAGAAAGCAGGCATATGGACAGGACTCCATTACTGCTGCCCTGTCCTTCCCAGCCTGCCCTTAGGGAGGAAAGTAGAGAGTAAAAGGATTTCGCTTGCCCCTTAAGGCAGCTTCCTCATGGCAAAGGGCATTTGTATCTGAGTCTTTGGTTTCTTCCCCCAATCCCTGACCCAGATCCAAAGGAACTTTCTCCTTGCGCATAACCACTTGCCTCCCACCGAGCTTCCAGCCCCTTCCTTACTCACCACAGTCCCTGCCCAGAAGGCGCAGCCTGAGGTGCACAGCTCTGTCTGGGGTCCTAAGCAAAGTAACACTCCAAGGGCACAGCTCAGAGCCCCTAACAATATCTGTGTCACCTGCGAGACAAGGTGAAAAGTCAGCTCCCTTTCCACCAGCCCACATGCCCCACGAGCAGCCACCCAGCTCTTACTGAGATGCCTACCTCTCCTTTTCCTATCTTGACCTCTCTGCAGCTCTGATTCTAGAGGATTCTGGCTCCTTCACATCCATGAACCAGCATGTTGTGGCTCCCCACCATCCCTCCGACGTGAATTCCCATCATTACTTTTTCCTAAATATTATACTTTGTCATCCCACCTTATGATTCTCACTTTTTTCCTCCTCATTCTCCCTTGGGAATCCAATCATCCTGTCCCAGATGGGACAAAAGAGTGTTTTGACTGACAGCCATCAGTGGTCAAAGGTCCCCTCACCTTTAAAGCCATGGGCACATTCTTTGGGGATGCCCACCCAGCCATTGGTGAAGCAAGGTGGTGGTACAAGGGCCACTTTTATCCAATACAGCATCCCATAATGGGCAGTTCTTTCTCCTGAGCCCTGTACTGGCTTGGCAGACACCTTGTCGGGCCTGCGTCATGATCTAGTGTCTCCTCTTACCCCATCTTTCTCCTTCCTTTTTCATTTCATAGCTGTCACACTGTGACATTGCACATTGAACTCTGTTTCAGTGCCTGCTTCCTGGAGAATGCAGCCATCACAGCCTCTTGGACATCACCATCTACATATCCCTGCAGCATTTCAGATCCATCGTGTCCAAGTTCCACACCCCACCTGCACCCCCAGTGTCTAATTCTCCTGAATTCCAGGGCCTCAGTCTCCTGGTCACCCACACTCCAAACCTCAGCATGTTCTTGGATTCCTCTACTCCTTTGTACCCCGAGCCCACCCACTCCCAAGTCATGAGACGTCATCTACAGAGGATGTAGACTCCTCTCTTTCCTTGTCATTTCTACTGTGGCCCAGGCAGGTGTAGACCCTCCACACTTCTTCCACAAGAAGATGTGGACATCTCTTGGCTGTGAGGCAGGCCCAGGTTCCTGCTCAGAAACCACCGACAGCCTTCCCACCACTGACGCTGATTCAGGTCAGCTTCTCACCCTGTCACTCAAGGCTCTCAGCAATTGGACCCTAGGCTGCATTTCCAGTCTGATCTGCCAGGAGTCTCATTCTCTTTACTGACAGGACTTGCCCAGTGCATACTGGCTTCTCCCTCCTTGCTCTTGCTGTTCTCTTGATGTGGGATTTTTTTTTTCTTCCATCTTTCACCTCTATCTGTCTACACCTGCTCTTCCTCAATGCAAGGTCTGGCTCAGATGTCAACTCCTGCAGGTCAGTTCCCAAGGATCTCACCTGCTCTACCTTTAATTCTAGCTATGAGTATAGTGATCTGATCCCTTCTGACTGATGTTGAGCACTTTTAGGTTACAGCCTAGGGATTCTCTCTGTAGTTCTCCTTGAAGTGTCTATCATATTGCCTCATATCTGCAGGCCCTCAGTTCACATGGGTTCCATTCAACTGAGCTAACAGCCCCCAGAGATTCTTCCACATATCCCCTCCAGCTGGGATGGCCCCTGCTGTACCAAAGAGGCCCATCACTCTTTTCCATCTAAATGTGTGGGGAGCCTACCAAAACTTTCTTTTCCCAAAAAAGATGGGATACCAATAGTAAGTTCTCCGAAGGAATCAACCCACATTTTTTCCATCCTATGGAAGGAGAGTTACCATCCTCTGTAGTACCTGCCATTCTTACCCCCAATGCCAGCTGCCCATAGCTCATCCTGGCCTTGGAAAGGCCAGTAAGGCCAGTGTCCCGAGGATGAGAAAAGAGTTCCTTCAGGGAAGCCCCAGCTTTGAGCAATTGTCCCAAAGCTGATTCCTGATAGATGTGGATGTTGATGTGAGTGGGCTGGGACAGTGTAGAGGCCACATCGATGCCATTCACAGTCACCATGTTTTGGGTCATCCTTCTGGCTGGGAAGAAGACATACAGAAGTGAGGTCTGGGAACCAAGTAAGATAAAAAGGAATATGTCATATGAGTGAAAGGAGAGAAAACAGTCCTTTGTCAACATCCAAAGGGTCTTCCCAGAGCAAGTATCAGTGTCACTGTGGCCTTAATCTGGGATGCAAATCCATATCACCTCTAGAATTCTTCACTACATATATTCTTGGGTCATTTCCCAGAATTGCCTGACACAGTTTGTCTAGGTCTTGGGTTGGACAAAGAAAGGAATCTGAATTATTTCAGGAACTTAATATACATATTTACACATGATACTTCCGTATGGTGAAAAAATTTGAAAGATACAAAAGGGTATACCTTTAAAACCCTCCCTCTCATCTTTCTCTCCCAATCACCTACTTGCCTTCTAGTCAGAGACTAATATTATCATTTTCTTATATATCCTACAATGACATTTTTTGCACACAAAAGCGTATAAAAATATTCTCCTCCTCCTTTGCCCACAAACGTCAGGATACTACATACACTGCACAATGATTTGTTCACAGAACTGTGTTTGAAAATGATCCTTTCTCACTCATTTGTCCAGCTGCAAAGTATTTCGTTGTAGGAATACATCATGATTTTTAAACAGTCTCCTATTGATAGACATTTATTTTCTCTTACAAACAATGAATAATTGTCTCTTACAAACCAGTGAATAATTGATTACAAACAATTGGCAGGTAAATGTGAATATGCATGTGTCACTTGAATAGATATTGCCTTCTACCCCATGAGCTACCCCATGAAATTCACATTCAGGAGCAAGATCAAAGAAGGTTCACTGCCCCTCTCCATGACCAGAGGAAGATGTCCGCAAATCTTTAAATCTTTTTCAAATGTATATCAGGAAAATTACATTCCAGTATAGATTTTAATCAGTTTTATGTAACCTACTGCCCCCTTTCCGGTGTATCTCAATGATGTTTGACAAATTCATACATTTGTACAACCCCAGCTACAATCAAGATAGAGAACATTTCTATGTTACAAAAAGGTCTGTAATGTTCCCTCCCCAGTAAGCCCCCTAACCCCTGGCCTGAGGCAACTACGGATCTGCTTTCTGTGACTATTCCAGTATCATTTCAATCCATAATTCTCTTATGATGAGTGATATTGGTCATTGTTTCCTATGTCTAAGAGCCGTTTTTTTTTTTCTCTTCTTTTGTGAGCTCTCTGTTCATATCCTATGTCCTTCGCGTTTTTACTGTCTTGTTTTGTATAGGAATTCTTTACGTATTCAAAAAATTGCCATCTGTGACACAATTTCCAAATATTTCTTTACAATTTGTGATTTATTTTTTGATTAAAGTTTCCATCTTTATTCTGATTTCTGGGTTTATATCATACTTAAAAAGGACTTTTCCACATCAAGATCATAAAATAATTCTTCCCTGTTTTCTTCTTCATAGTTTTATGCTTTCCATTTTCACATTTAAATGTCAATTCATCTGGGATTTATCTTGTAAGTTGGAATATATGGATCCAAGTTGTTGTGGGTATTTTCCCCTCAGATGGTTAACTGCTGAAGGATAAGGTCTGTTTGAAGAATATATTATCTTTGTCCTACTGATTTAAAATGTTCCCCAGAGCAAAAATGAAATTTTCATTGGAATCCAGGGCTATTCTAGTCTTTATACTCTGCCCATTGGTATGTCTGATGAGCCAGGCACCACTGCCACAATTTTAGTTATGAGTATGAGTTTATGGGGCAGCTGGGTGGCTCAGTCGGTTGAGTGTCCAGCTCTTGATTTAAGCTCAGCTCATGATCGCAGGGTCATGGGACTGAGCCTTGCGGGCTCCGTGCTGAGCATGGAGGCTGCTTGAGATTCTTTCTCCCTCTTTCTCTGTCCCCTCCCCTGCTCCCTCCCTCTCTCTCTCTTTAAAAATTTTTTTAAAAATTTCTTAATGAGGGGCGCCTGGGTGGCTTAGTCAGTTAAGCGTCCGACTTTCGCTTAGGTCATGATCTCGTGGTTCGTGGGTTCGAGCCCCGCGTCGGGCTCTGTGCTGACTGCCAGCTCAGAGCCTGGAGCCTGTTTCAGTCTGTGACTCCCTCTCTCTCTGACCCTCCCCTGCTCACGCTGTCTCTCTCTCTCTCCTAGAAATAAATAAAAACATTAAAAAAAATTAAAAATTTCTTAATGAGTATGGAGTAAATTTATTTTAAAAAGTAAATGAGTATGGAGTAAATCTTTTAAAAATGAGTATGGAGTGAAAATGAGTATATTTAATTGAGTTATTTCATAACCCCTTCATGTTATCTTTTTCTTTCATGGCCATTTTTGCTGGGTTACTTCTCCATATGCACTTTGGAATCAACTTGCCCATTTCCAAAAGCAATCCTCCATAGTAATTCCAATGGGCATCCTACTTCACCATCACTGATGGAAATCGTAGTTATATCAATAACAATCCTAACAACAGCAATGATGGCAAGCCTAAAGTCTTCCCTTTTATTCTATGTCCTTTTCTTTTTTTAAAAAAAAATTTAATAGTTTATTGTCAAGTTGGTTTCCATACAACACCCAGTGCTCATCCCCACAAGTGCCCTCCCCCATGCCCATCACCCCCCTTTCCTTCCCCCCACCCCCATCAGTCTTCAGTTTGTTCTCAGCATTCAAGAGTCTCTCATGGTTTGCCTCCTTCTCTCTCCCCCACTATTTCCCTCCTTCTTCTCCGCCACGGTCCTCCGTTAAGTTCCTCTTAATTGTCCTATACGTGCAGACATATGGTATCTGTCCTTCTCTGCACTGCTGGTTGGAATGTAAACTGGTGCTGCCCCTCTGGAAAACAGTGTGGAGGTTCCTCAAAAAATTAACAATAGATCTCCCCTATGACCCAGGAATAGCACTGCTAGGAATTTACCCAAGGGATGCAGGAGTGCTGATGCATAGGGGCACATGGACCCCAATGTTCATAGCAGTACTCTCAACAATAGCCAAAACATGGAAAGAGCCTAAGTGTCCATCAACTGACAGATGGATCAAGAAGATGTGGTTTATCTATACAATGGAATACTACATGGCAATGAGAAGGAATGAAATCTGGCCATGTGTAGCAACAGGGATAGAACTTGAGGGTGTTATGCCGAGTGAATTTTAAAATTTTTTTTAATTTTTTTTTTTATTTTTGAGAGAGAGACAGTGTGAACAAGGGAGGGTCAGAGAGAGAGGGAGACACAGAATCCAAACACAGGCCCCAGGCTCTAAGATAGCTGTCAGCACAGAGCCCAACGCAGGGCTTGAACCCACGAACCATGAGATCATGACCTGAGCCAAAGTCGGACGCTTAACCGACTGAGCCACCCAGGCACCCCTCTATGTCCTTTTCAAAGCAATGTCATACTTGCACCTACCTGGTCTTTTTGGAGGTATAAAGGACAGGTGTTTGACAGTTCTGCAGACACACAAGGAGGTTCAGACTTGTTCACAGACACACATAAGGAAGTCCCGCCTGATTCCAGCCAGATCTCCCCTGGGGTCCCAGGAGCCAGGGTCACAACAGCCCTCTGAGCCCCCTGGGAACCACCACTCCCCCCACCACACTCCAACCCAGCTCAGCTGAGCCCCCTGCTCTACTTCTGGACCAGGCCAGTCCTATGAGAATTCCCCTCCCATGCCACAGGAACCCTGCTACATCAGGCCCACCACTTTCCAGCTTCATTCTGAAGGACTTCTCACCACCAAGCCGCCTGAGCCACAGCCACCCCTCCAGGAATGAAGGTGGGGTGAGGCCTAGTGAGGTGAAAGAGAGCCAGGCTGCTGCAAGCAGCACATATCCCTCCCCTCCCCAGGTCCCATCTAGTTTAGAGCATCCTGCCCACCCCCCAGCAGATCCTATAGGGACTGGGAATGGGGGAAAGCAGCATCATGTGAGATAGGATGGGGGCTTTGGGAACTGGCCTTGGAGACTCCGCAAGAGAGAAATGTCCTGTAGTGAGAGGCTCCTGGGAAGGGACCACCCGGCCTGTGGGGTCCCTGCTCACCTGCTGTCCTCTGGGAGCCCCTGCCAGCCGGTAGAAAGGAGAAGAAGAGCAGAAGCCAGGGGTGGAGGGAGGAGGGCTTGATCATCAGCACTGCAACTTCCCAGAAAACAGCCAGAGGCAAAGGGGCCCCTCTAGGGGGATTCCAGTCTTGAGTAGATAACCAGGCTAGCAAGAGGTGGGGGGAAGGAGACTGCACTCATGGGAGTGCACACACAAACACACACGCACACACACAACACACACTCATACACATTCACAGCACTGGCAGATCTGTGTCCAGAAAGCACCTGCCCAAGTGGCCATGGGGGAGAAAAGAGCTTCCCAGGGTTCTCCTGGGCTGATCACTTCTATGGGCTCCCAGGCCACCCACCTTTCCCCCATGCTCTCCAGGCTGGAGCCCAAGGATGGACTGGTAGCTGGAAACCCCCCCCACTGGGGCCCTTCTGCCCTGGCGGTCATCCAGAGAGGCTGGGCTAAGATTCAGCCTGCCTCACCTCCACCCTGCCTTTCTGGTGTTCTATCAACCTCTTCTTCCATCGCCTGGTGCCCAGCTCCAGCCCCAGCCCTCCCTGCTGGCACACTCCCCGCAATCCCCCACCCAGGATCCCAAAGAAAGCAGGTGAGGCAAGCCCACAGCCAGGCGCCCCTTCCCCAGGACCCCTCCCCACCCCTCCCCCCTCACAAGCCTGGCCCAGAACTTGCTGAAGATGGTGGGAGGGAGAGACCAACGGCCTGTGGAAAATGGACTCCAGGAAGATGGTAGGAGCAGAAGGCGGGGGTGTCCCTGTTTGATACCAAGTCAGTCTGGCCTTGACCTCCACCTCCACACGCATGCAACTTGGTCCTTCCTTGTATATGGGGGACAGAGTGGGGAGTACAGCTTCAACAGGCCGTGCAGAGCTGAGTGGCCGTTGGTAGAGAGGGAGGTGTTTAGAGGTTGAGGGAGGTCCCCAAGCCCTTTGTGGAGCAGCTGTGGCAACAGAAGCTCACCTGGCAGCCCAGGAGCCTAAAGGCTTCAGGTGGGGCCTCAATGGCACACACAGGCTGAGAAAAGAATTTGGAGAGGTGAGGAATCCGGGGCACTGCTTGCTCCAGACCTCGTGAGAGGATGGGGGAACAGCAGGTTGAGGGTGAAGGGGGAGGCTCCAGTGGGCTCAGCAGTTGCCACAGCACCAGGAGAGCAGGGCTGTCCCGACAGGACACCTCGCAAGAAAGGGACAGGGATGTTGCTCCATGACCAGGGACCTCCACAAATCCCGAAGGCGTGAAATCTTTGGAAGCACTCTGCGAACCTGCCAAGGCTCTCCCTGACACTCCCTTCCTTCTCCCTCACAGACAGATGTCCACAGGCATGGGGACAGTAGACAGTGGTGAGGCGGCCCCTGGAGCTCCGCAGCCCACCCACATTGATGTGCACATCCACCAGGAGTCAGCTCTGGCCAAACTCCTGATAAGTGGGTGCTCCCTGCTTCGTTCCTCCACCTCCAGCGCCCTCTCCCAGACCCGGGGCGGGAGCCGGCTGCTGGTGGCCTCCTGGGTAAGTAGGGGCCCAGAGCGTTGCCCATACTCCCCACATCAGGAAAAGAAAACCTTCCTTTTGCTGTGCACACTCTTGGCCAGCCTCTCTGAATCAGACACTGAGCCAGTTTTATCTTCTTATTAGAAATCAAGATCTCCTGTGCTCCATTTCTGATGTTTTTACATACTTACTGGTCTTCTCCATAAAAGCTGTAGGTGGGGTGGGTTTTGGGCTAAAAGGGTGCAGGAGAGACATAGCCATTTATTTATTTATTTGAATGTTTATTTTTGAGAGAGAGAGAGAGAGACAGAGTGTGAGCAGAGGAGGGGCAGAGAGAGAGAGACATAGAATCTGAAGCAGGCTCCAGGTTCTGAGCTGTCAACACAGAGCCCAATGTGGAGCTCGAACTCACAAACCGCGAGATCATGACCTAAACTGAAGTCAGTCACTTAACCAACTAAGACACCCAGGCACCCTGAGACATGACCATTTAAAGTCCCAGCTGATGGAGCCCTGACCATCCTCTCCCCTTCTCTAGACCCAGCATGGCCTGGTTCTCCCTCCTCTCTTCTCCCTCCTCTTTTTCTCTTTCATGGGGGATTCCAACTGTGTATACCTGGAGTCCTCAAAGTTGCCTGAGACTTGGGGGCAGAGGGTTGCCCCTGGGCCTGGGCATCTGGAAGCCAGCTTCTTAGTTCTTCTTTTTCCTCCAGGTGGTACAGATCGTGCTAGGGGTGTTGAGTGGGGTCCTGGGGAGTTTCCTGTACATTTTCTACTCTTCCGCCTTGCGTGACTCAGGAGCTGCCATCTGGACAGGGGCTGTGGTAAGTGGGGCGGGGAGACGGTTGACAGGCCAAGAAGGGGCAGATTCACCTCCTATCAGACGTGATAGACCATCACCGTCACCATCAGCACCATCACCATCACCCACGGTACTATAAAGTGTCAGCAATTGAAAATCCCCTCCGTTATTCTCGGCTGAGAATACAGATAAGAAAACAGCCAAGGAAAGTGGTGGTCTGTCCAAAGTCAACAGGCCAGCTATCCTCGTTTCTGGGCCCGGGCTTCTCCCACCACGTGAGCCACTTCACCCCAATTCAGCAAACATCAACCAAGGATCTAGGTCACACTCATTTCCAGACACTTGCATTGAGATGGGGAGGAAGAACATACTAGAGAGTGTATACTCTACAAGATAATGTTGCCCCAATGCCTTGTGCGGGCTTTGTACACAGTGGGAAGCCAGTGGGGGGTCACTGAGCGACAGTGGTGAACATCAACAGATGGGTGTGTGCAACCAGGGATTGAGGGCAGGTCATGGTAACACTGAGGGGCCCTTTGGCATGCCCACACTCACAGAGTGATAGCAAAACACATGCATTTATTGAGAGAGGAGCCAAAAGTAATCATCCTCATGCAACCAATGGCAAAACAATCAGATTAGTTCAAGAATTGCCAGATAGGATTCGAATCCATCTGTCCACCATGTGGATGGTATACCAGACGTCCTGTTCTGTCAGCCCAGGTGGTGGGGTTGCTGAGGACTTGCTGGGAAAGTTGCCTGGACCAGAGGACACCCAGAGGCTCATCGTGCACTGAGAGCTTCTCCAATGTCCTAGGGCATCCACCATCTGGAACTTTTGCAAAACACCATTGCTTTAAAAGGAAGGTTTTGGAGAAAGGAGGGAGGGCTCTTCATTGTCCCTAAAACAGAGGGTCCTGCCACCTCAGGAGTTTGATGCTGGCCTAACCCTCGCCATTAGCCTACTATTGATGACAAAACTTAGCTCAAAACCTCAGGCCCACATGCAGTGTGCCAAGGAAGGGCTGGCCCATGGCTGGCTCTATCTGTGGGGGTTACTGGCAACTGGAAGGCTTGGATCTGCTGTTAGTCCTGCTCTCTTCCATCTCTCCCCAGGCCGTGCTGGCTGGAGGTCTTGCCTTCATTTACGAGAAACGGGGTGGCATCTACTGGGTGAGTTTGGGGAAGGGCAAGAGTGGACACCAGGCCCAGAAGCTGGAAGCCAACCAACCATGCCTCCTGCTGGGACACACATGGGCTACATGGGCCTGTCCCTCTCTCCCCAGCTGGGTTCCCAGGGAGACTGAATCTCCAAGGTCTCTCTCTGCCTCCTCTGCCACCAGGCTTTGCTGAGGACCCTGCTCGCCCTGGCAGCTTTCTCCACAGCCATTGCCACCATCACCATTGGAGCTGATAACTTCTATAGGTGCTACTTAGATTTTGAAGACTTTATCTGTGATGTCTCCCCGAGTGCCTGGTACGGGGTCACCCTGCCCCCCAGCACTCCGAGTCCAGAAGAAACCAGAAGGCTGCACCTGTGCCTCTCTTATCTGAACATGGTGAAGGTAGGGGGGCAAGAGGTAGGAGTGCGGGTGGGCAGTGGGCAGGGAAGGCCAAGATGGCAGACAAGAGTAAGGCTGTGTTACTTGTTCTATACCCAGCTTGACTACTGTCACCACAGACGTGGCATTAAACAAACTAGAAATAGTTCCTGGGGTGGTGGGTGTTATAGACTCATGGGAAATACAAACACGGAAATAATAAATGAACTAACCTTGTGAGTGTGCAAAGATGTTAAATGCAATTCTCCCTTGATCTTCTCAAGCCTTGGGGCTGCTGAGGCACCAAATTGTAGCCCAAGCCCGTCATTGTCAGAACAAGGACACCGAGGCCTGATGCGATGGGTTTCTGTCTGCTCTCTGCATGCTGGACTCGTTTACCCCTCCCCCCCACGCACAGGTTCTTCCTCAGCACCCCCCCCCAAGAAGCTACAGACTTGAGGATGAAGGGATAGAGAGAGACCCTAGGTTGGAAATGAATGAGAACACGGAGCACAAATGGCAACACTTTGGTGGTGACAGATTTGGTCCTCTGTCCCCAGGTCCTGTTCATAAGCTTTCACATCATGCTCTTGGCGGTTTGGGCTCTGCTGCTTCTGGCATCTCTGGTCCCCGTGTGTCTGTACTGCTGGAGAAGGCTCCAGTGTAAGGTGAGTCCCTAAAGTATGCCTCTGTGTTTGAGCGGTGGGACTGTCCAGAAGAGGCAGAGATGGCGAGCTCATGGCTTGGGGAGGAGAAAAGGGCCCTTACCGTGAGTCCCAAGGGGCATCGTGCCTGTCTTCCTACTCCAGTGGTGGCCCAGTCCAGAGAACCCCTGTCCCTGATCTACAACAAAGACCCCAGGAAGGCAGGGAAGTCCACACCCATGGTGGGATGCTGGGACTCTTTGCATCAGGTACCATGAGGCTGGCGTTGGATCTGGTTGACTCCAGAACTAAGTTGCCCTGGAGGAAAGAATTCATACCTTCTCTCCCTGGGCTATCTTACCCCTCTGCCTCCCTTAGGAAACAGAAGAAACTGCTGCAAGTGAGTGAAATCTAGCCCTGCTTCTCCTGAGTGCTCACGCCTGGACTCTTTCTGGACTGCATGTCCCTGCTTCTGGCTCCTGGGAGAAGGACCAGGCTGGGAAGGTCCAGTTATCCTGCCCCCACTGCTGTGCCCACTGCCCTGCCCCAGCGATCAGGATGGCAGCTCTCGCGGCTGGCTCACCTTCACTGTCCCGCGCTGCTTCACCTCCCCTCCTGAGCAGTGATGATAATAAATGACTTGTTGTTGCTCCGAGCTTCTTGCATAGCTCTCCCGCGGAATTTCTCTGTGCTGGGAGAGGCGGAGGAGAATGAGCTGATGCAAACCTATGATGCTCCTCCCTCTCCCAACCTCCCTTCTGGGCCATGAAAGTAGCCTGTCTTTGAGGATGGTTCTGGGACTGTATGTCCAAGTGCCTGTGTACAAAGGATGAAACAAGTGGGGACTCTGAGCCCTGCTCCCTACGATTCAAATTTAAGAGAGTGAATGCTGGGCAAACTGAGAATTAGATTTGTTTTTTGCCTGTTTGGAAAAAGTAAGGAATAAATGCACCAAGATGCCATCATTTTGGAAATCATTTTTTAAAGATAGACGATGATGTAGAAACCCTGAATAGTTGTCCCATGAAAAAATACCTAGAATTGCTGGAAACGATATGAATCATGTATTTTTAAATTCATGCCTAACTTGGATAGGCTACAATAAAAGTAGGAGCATGGATTCAGAGAGCTGAGTCTTGAAATTATCATCCACCTGTCTGGGACTTCCATGAGCACTCGCGCATCCCGCGTTACCTTGGAAGGATCCGTAGGACTCAGCACAAGTTTGTATTCATGGCTATGGTTGTATTCATGGCTACATTTTATTACAGCCAAAGGGTCCACAGCAGCATCAACCAGGGACAAAGGTGTATCAGGTGGATGTGGGAGGAATCTGGGTTCAGGCTTCTGATATCCTCCTACCAGTGAGGAAGGGACATTGACACTATTCAAAGGTGGGAGAAGGACAATCAAGTATCCCCGAAACTGGGAAGGCACTTTGAGACTGGAAAATGAAGCAGTCCACTCCATTGTGTTTACACAGAGTTTTCTTCAGGATAACTTACTGACTGGAGGTCCACGCAGCTGCAAAGTTACTCTCACAAAGTCCAAACCTTAGTCTACAGATTCTGTCATGAGATCAAAGGGTTCACATGCACCTCCAGTGGCTTGTATGCTCCTAATTGACAGCTACTCTTTCATTAGGTCTTGTGGCACCACCTGGCATCAGGAGAGGGAAAGACTATGTTATCTCTAACAGATTCCTGGGGGAGGGGGGCAAAACAAGTATCCCTCATCTCGACCTTGGCTGGCATTTCTAATCTAGCAAACATGAGCAAGATGGGGGCCCAAAGATGGAGTCACTATTGTTAGCACTCCTACAAACACATATACAGTGTTTCTGCTCAGGGAAGCCCACTGAAGACTCAGTGCCCAGGGTTTTTACTGGAGGCTGGTCACATAAGCACTCTCTCCACCTGCACAATGGCCACAGTTCAAGATACTCAGAAGAAAAGCAGGTGTCCACCTCAAATATCATTGTATAGTCCAGGCAAGCTGATACAGTGCAAGTCGGTGCTGCCAGCACACAAAACAACCGTATCAGCATAGGAACATTCCAAAAACCAACTTCTGAGAAGGCAGCCCAGAGCCAGCCCTTCAAACAGGGCCTTTCAAGGAGCAACCTCTATGTTAACGTTTCCTGTTCACTGCTCTGGGGGCATCTGTCAAACTCTGTAACCCAAAACTGCACTTGATAACCATGCTGAAGACAGCCAGCAAATCCTAAAGCCTTTGAAACTGGGGAGTCAAAGTGAAGACCCCTGTATATAAATCTGCAATTTCAGGAAACAGTTGGGGGGGGAGGGGAATCCACCCTATCAAAGGATGTGACAAGCAAACTCTTGGTGAAAGAATTGACATGGAGACCAATGAATGCAAGTCGACTCTAATATAGACTTGGGGCTTGAACTTGTACTGCTTAGGTAATCTAAGACCCTGAGAAAAGAATTTAAAGTCCTTAAGATGGTAGTGACCCTAGACACTTGTCAGAAATCAATTGCAAATTCTGTCAGGAGAAATTCACTTATACCTTGGACCTCTAAGAATTCCTAAAAACACTGTTTCATGGGGAAAGAAAGAAAGAAAGAAAGAAAGAAAGAAAGAAAGAAAGAAAGAAAGAAAGAAAGAAAGAAAGATGGAAGGAAAGAGAAAAAGAAAGAAAGAGAAAGAAAGAAGGAAGGAAGGAAGGCAGGAAGGCAAGGCAAGGCAAGGCAAGGCAAGGCAAGGCAAGGCAAGGCAAGGCAAGGCAAGGCAGGAGGCCGGCTCCGACAGGTCCGGGGATCCCTGAAGGATGGACGGTGTCGGCGAGAGAGAGAGTGAGAGAGATTCTTTCTGATCACCAGGCAGGCATCTCTGTCCTGTCGGTTTTTGTGTCTTTATTTAAAGGTTAAGCAACAAGATGAAGTCAGAGAAAGGAATTTCTTACAATGGGAGGCCTTTTGTGATAACAATAGTAGAATTATTCCGACCAAGGAAATAACAGAATGTTCTTAGTGAAAAATAGGATAACATATAGGTCAAATTGTATATAGATAAGCTAGGAGTATTTTGTCTGGCTCTCAAGAGGATGAATGTTTCTGAATTGGTTTGTTTGTGGAGACTAACATGGGGGCCCTGACTGGGTCAGTCTTTTGCCTCTGGGTTATGTTTTAGCTACTCTTATCTATCCTCATCCCAGCTGCCAGTGTAAGAGAGGGTGTTTGTGGAAAGTAGGCCTTGAGGAAGGGACTGTTATGTTTCACCAATTAGCAAAGATATATGTGGTAACTATGTTTTGCTCTTAACCCCAAAATAGGCCCTTGGTCTCAGGGCCAGGGTCAATTGTAATTCTTGTGTTCTTAACCCCCTAAGTCTCAGATCTGTAAGGCCCATAGGAAGAGCCTTTTGACAATCACCCATAGAACTTTCATCTAAAATCTCTTTTGTAAAGGCAGGAATATGCTTTTCCTTATGAGGTATCTGCATTCAGAGTATGGGTCTGATATGGAATATTGTGAGGCTTGGTCAATACCAGCAGACTTATATCCAACATGAGCCAATAGTAGCAGAAGGAGATACCAGTTTTCATTTCTCATGGCAGGAGCAGCAAACATTGTCACTTCCTTGCTGTGACTGCCATCCAGAGAGGCCGGTGCGGCTCCCTGCAAAGCAAGGCAAGGCAAAAAATAATAATAATAAACTGAAATTCAGCATAAATTTACAAGCATCAAATCAGGAACACAAATCCTTCAGTCATTGCTGTTTTTTTATATAAAATTATCATGCCTAATATATTTAAAGAAATTTTAAAAGGGAATTAAAGTATTGGCAAAAATAAGAGCTTAGCAAAAAATTATCAGATTTTTTAATCCCAAAGACAGCATCTAGAAATGAAAATTATAGTAATCAGAATAAAACCCCCAGTAAACAGATCAGACATAGCTGCAGAGAGAGATACTAAACTAGAAGATAGGTCTGAAGGAGTTATCTGAAATGCAGCTCAGACAGGAAAAAGAGATAGAAAACAGAGCAATTTAAGAGATATTTAGATCTGATGTAGGACAGAATTTTAAGAGGAAGAAATAGAGAGAAAGAGAGAGAAAAGTAAATAGAAAATCAAACATAAAGGCTGAGGAATTTTCTGAAAGAAGAAAGAAAACAGAAGAGGAATGCCTAGGTGATGCTCTCGCAGTTCATGAATTCAAACCCCATGTCAGGCTCTGTGTTGACAGCTCAGAGTCTGGAGCCTGCTTCAGATTCTTTGTTTCCCTCTCTCTCTCTGCCCCTTCCCCCCCTCTCAAAAATAAAAACATTTTTAAAATTTTTATTTTTTTATTTTTATTTTTCATTTTTAAAAATTTTAAACAACTACACATTTTATATATAATACAAATATTTTTGTTATATAAGAATTAAATTGCTATGGCTCTGTTAAAATCAGACTTTAAGGCAGAGAGCATTCCTACAGAAGTCGCTAGTGGTCAATTCAGCAGACCTGCTTCCTTCTCCCATTTTATCCATACTCTCCTGGAAGCAGGAATCTGTACTTCCAGATGGAAGAGCCATCTTATAACCAGGAGGCTACCGTCCACAGGCTGGAGATGGTGCAAACAAAGACCCAAGGAGCCTGTGCGGCCCACAGCATGACTGCACGTGCCAAACCCGCCTTGGATTGCTTACCTTTTAATATCTGTCTATGAGAAAAATTATTTCCTTACTGACTTAAAGAAAGAGATAAAATAACTTCTTAAAGAAGCCATTTACAATAACAAGGAAACTGAAAGTTACCTAGGATCAAATCTATATATTCAAGACATTACTAAAATTAATGAAACCTGTTTATGAATACCTAAATAAATAGAAATGCATACACCCTGTCAATAGAAGGGAGGACCCTGTTCTATAAAGATGGCTTCTCGCTCCAAAGTGAGTCATTAATTCAATGAAATTACAAACAAAATCTCAACAGACTTTCTTAGTACTTGCTTCACCAATTCTCAAATTGATACAGATCAAAAGACTAAGAACAGGGGCATCTGGTGGCTGTTGGTTAAGTGTCTAACTCATGGTTTCGGCGCAGGTCCTGATCTCACAGTTTATGAGATAGAGCCCCGAGTCAGGCTCTGCACTGGGCCTGGAGATTCTCTCTCTCCCGTTCTCTCTGCCCCTCCCCCCACCTCTCAAAATAAATAAATAAAATATTTTTTAAAAAGACTATCTCTCAGAGCAGAATCTGGAAAGCACAATTTGATTATAGCTAATTGAAAGCTGGTTTTATATCTTTTTGTATTTAAAAAAAATTATTGTTTTTTAAATTTATTTCTGAGAGAGAGAGAGAGAGAGAGACAGCGTGAGCAAGGGAGGGTCAGAGAGGGACGGAGATACATAATCTGAAGCAGGCTCCAGGCTCTGAGCTGTCACAGAGCCCAATACCGTGCTCGAACCCACAAATCATGAGATTATGACCTGAGCTGAAGTCGGAAGCTTAACCAACTGAGCCATCCAGGTGTCCCTTTTTGTATTTTTTTAAGTTTATTTATTTTGAGAGAGAGAGAGAGCAAGCATGAGGGGGGGAAGGACAGAGAGAGAGAGAGAAGGAAAGAGAGAATTCCAAGCAGGCTCCATGCCATCACTGCAGAGCTCTATGTGGGGCTTGAGCTCATGAACCATGAGATCACGACCTGAGCCAAGATCAAGAGTCTTATACTTAACTGACTGAGCCACCCAGGTGTCCCTGTTTATACATCTTTAAAGAAGCATTGTTTGGGCCTACGTGGATAAAATGAGTCATAGGAGAAAAAGTGGGATTTGAGTAACCAGCGTCAGACCAAAGACTGAGACAGTCGGGTTCTTATTTTACTTAAATTATCTGGACCCTGTGCATGCCCCCTTAGTATCCTACCACCTGGGTATGCCAAGCACAGACCTCTCAGCCCCTACAGAAGGGTTCTGCTTTGCTCTGCTCGAGTCCAGTGAGTGGGAG